GAAGGTACTGGGTAGAGAGAGATCGGAACGGTTTGTAATGTGAAGACAACAACAACAACAAACAACAACAACCCCTGTTTGGTTACCAGTTAGGTATGTTGGATAAACCGGGTAGGCCGAAGCTTGTAGGTTTGTGGAGAAAGGCAGCTCGGCCAGTGAGGGCCGAGGTGGGAAAGTCTTGTATTAGAGGGAAGAGGGAAGGGCAGAGACCACTCGAGGCCGAGCAGCCGAAGAGTGCGTCACCACACCTATCCGCCACGCAATTCAGATCACTCNACACCTATCCGTCACGCAATTCAGATCACTCATCAAATCTCCGAAGAAACCAAGCAGAAACTCCCTGTTCCTCCGCGATCTCCCAACTGCAATCTCCGTAGATCCATGTCCCATATTAAACCACATTACTATGCTACGAGTATATCTTACAGCCCCCCTGCTCGTATGCATCGTAATGACACGGCAAGTCAATATAATTATACGAGACCCAAAACGTGGATCCTACTCCTCCATGACAAACAAATAACCAAGAATGAATTCGATTATGCAAGTGTTCCTGAACCCACAACGTCTTGTCCCATCGTCTTCATTTCTTCTCTGCAAAACGCTCTTCCTCTGGTCCATCCTTTCTCAGCACTTCGCCGCAACGACACCCGCAAAGTACTTATGTCCCTCGCACAACTGAAACCTTAAACAATCCATCGAGTCAAACCTGTCTGTGGAACTCCTCTTCATTTTCTTTCCAAGACACGGACCAATTCGTAGAAAATCGCCTCCTCCGTTGTGCATCCGACTACGTTCATCCGACTACGAATCCTACCAAAAATACACAAACTTTCGAACACAAACCAAAGTATACGTTTCATGCCCACTTCGCAGATAAAACGCTTCTGGGCATGGTACCAATCCTCTACTCTCACACTTCCGATCAAATAACATCCATCCCCAAACATTCGTTCAGCGTTGAGATCATTTGAGCAGAACATACGCGAGCGAGTATTTTCCTTACTGTTTCTCCCTAGAAACTTAGCACCAGCTACAGTGAATTCCTTCCGAAATAACAACGTGCCCCCCTGCTCTGGGAGATCCGCCCCCCTGATTTAAAGGTTGGAGTCAGAACCACAAACCAAAAGAACGACATTCAAAATGAATCCAGTCGAGACCCAAGAAAAACATTCTCCTGCAAATAAATCCCGACGAAACACAAAAACCAAATCAAGTCCAATCCCAAAATGTTCGCAAATCCTACTGCAAAAAACCAATTCAATAACAAAGCCAAAATCCAATCCAACCAACACAGAATCCAATCCAATACCAAAACAAAAACATTCGAAGCCCCTGCATTTGCCGGCGCATCAAGCTCCAGCGCTTAACCCATTGCCCAAGCCATTGTTTCTCCCCCCCCAGCGGATATTTCGCACGCCTTCGCCGCGGTCGTCTATCTCCTTTCATATTTTCCGGCTGGCCGCGGCTCGAGCTTGGATGTTTGCGTCCGCCTGAAGTGGAGGAAGAACAATTGTCGCTCCCGTAGGATTGACTCGGCGGTGGTGTAGGGCAGGTCGCGCGTTCGGAGGGAAAGATGGCGGCAGGTTAGTTCCGAACAAACCAGCACTACTGAGGAGAACCACATACCATGAACATTCCCCCCGGTTCTGCACAGTAGTGACTGCAGCAGAAAAATCAACAAATGAATCACACTTTCAAGTCGTCGGGCCCTACTAGTGGAATGGTTTGTCTGAAATTACCGATCATTGTGACATTGCCACTCAATAAATAGCTGAATATCATCCTGAAATGGAGGTTGATTAGTCCTCTATCACAAAATAATAATACAGCCGCTGCTCCTGTTCTAACCATAGGGTAATCAATCCCAAGTCACAACCTTAACAACGTGGAACTACAATCTCACAACAAATAGTAACCTCAAGACAAAGTGTAACAATCTTCGGAAATCAGTATTTCGTCTGTGCTACTGCTGTGTTGTGGAATTTTCATCTGCAACAAAAGTTGAGGTACCAACGTTGCACGTCATCAATGAGACTTGACACGTCTCTGGTACTCGCTGACATAACCAAGACATGAAAAGTTTTTGATCAGGTGAAAGCTGCTACCCAGAGAGAGTCCAGATAAAACGTTGATCACGCATTTTTGACCAGGCTAAACCTGCTGCTCAATAAGTAGCTACCAAAACGAGCCCAGGTAAAACGTTGATCACGCTGTTACCGGCTAGAGAAAGTTAGTCTCAGCACGGCTGTCAGGAAGACGAACAAAACCTCGCCAATCACTGCAGCATTACATTACGCACAATACTATTTCTAATACCATGCTACACGCACAAACAATATCATCAGTTTAGAAACTGGCATCAGTTTTTGAGGATTACTGGTAACCTGGATTGTGTCTACCCATTTGCTACAGGTAGTCGGTCTTTGGCCGAGCGGTGGAGTTTGACGGCAGTACCGCACGACGTGTTGTCGCGTTTTGATTGAGTAAGTGTTGGTGTTTGACGGCTTTACCGTGCAGCATGTTGCCGCGATTACTAGAGAATGAGTGGGAGAGAGCGTTTGACGGCCGTGCCGGGTGGAGGTGGAGGTGGAGTTAGCGTTGGCGTTTGACGGCAGTACCGCACGGCGTAATGCCGCGTTTAGGATCTGAAGGCACGATGTAGGCGTACCGCATCAATCACCGCATGGGTGTCCACATATCGACAGCAGTCCAAAACTGACAAGTCATCACGTGCCTGTTTATGCCTACAACCCCAGTAGACGGCGGGGCTCAGCTGACGATGGCGCTGCTGTAGGTCTTGGGGTTGCTGCTGCTGTGCAGGCCCTCGCCGTTGGTGGCCTCTTCGTCTGGTTGGGTGTCGTCAGCCGCGCATGCGGCTGCCCATCGGCGCTACCCAATCACCCTCGACAAAGTCGTTAACTGCCAGCGTGTTGGATAAACCGGGTAGGCCGAAGCTTGTAGGTTTGTGGAGAAAGGCAGCTCGGCCAGTGAGGGCCGAGATGGGAAAGTCTTGTATTAGAGGGAAGAGGGAAGGGCAGAGACCACTCGAGGCCGAGCAGCCGAAGAGTGCGTCACCACACCTATCCGTCACGCAATTCAGATCACTCATCCAATCTCCGAAGAAACCAAGCAGAAACTCCCTGTTCCTCCACGATCTACCAACTGCAATTTCCGTAGATCCATGTCCCATATTAAACCACATTACTATGCTACGAGTATATCTTACAAGGTACATGACTCCGTTGGAAGCGACGCGCTGCAAAGCTCGTTGTTAGTAAACTGTGTTAGATATTATACTCGCAGCAGTATCTGGTCGTGAGGATCCCAGGGGCATACGTGTTGGGAATTTCGTGTGTGCTGCACCCCGCGTGGTTTACCTTTCACACTAGTATACACGTCCCCCCCCTCCACCTGCTCCCCGGCCGGGGACGAAATCGACCTAGTGAGTCCCTCGCGGGCGAACCAGGCCATAACAGATAGTAGGCGGGTGGTGTCCCAAGGTGCAACTCACCGCCGCGCTGGCTCAGCGTGGCGGTGAGGATGCACAGACGGTGGTAGTGGCGAGAGGTGTGTATGGACACTGTTCCCGCGGCAGTAATGCAAAGCGGCAAACTGCACCTGGCAACCACCGTCGCGGAAAGCGTGGCCCACGAAGCTGGAGGAGTAGAGCGATTCGTAAACACCACGTCAGTAAGCACCGCTCGCGGGATAAGGGAGACAACCGCGGGCACCGCGGGGAGAGAGTGCTGCACCCTCCTCGTCAAAACACCACAGGCAAGAACCGAGCTCTGCAGAGATGGATTGATGCGAGGAAACTCGCCGCTCGGAAAATACGGAAGAAAGCACACCCGCAACGCGAGGTGGACCGAGAGAGACAAGAGACCGCAGCAGCCGTCAAGGCGGCTGCGAAGAAGAAGGCACGAGAGGGCGACCTATCGTTCGGCACGTTCAACGTACGCACGCTCGCCTACAGCGGTAGGAACCCCATCGGTCACAACGTGATGACGGTCATGCAGATTTGTTCCGCGACCGGCTGTGATGTGATAGGACTTCAGGAGACCCGACGAGCGGGGCAAGGTTCAATTGCACACGACGGGTACGTGATCAT